ATATATATATATATACCAATATATATATTATATATATTATACCCTTAATATATATTTATATATATTATATATATTATATATATAATAAATGTATATATTAAATATTAAATAAATAAATAATATATTTGATTGAGTTAACTGCAATAACTCTCGTAGCAGCAGCAGCTTGAGAGTACCTGCTGCTGCTGCTGCTGCTGCTGCTGCTGCTGTTGCTGTTGCTGCTGCTGCTGCGTGTACACCGACAGCTGCAGCATTAACTGCTTATTAATACAAAAGCAGCAATACACTGCCTTAGCAGTACCTGTACTGTTTATATAAAGGGTACTGCTGGGGGGCCCCCCAAACAACAGAGGGGGGAGGGGGGCCCCTAGGCCCCCGAGGGCCCTTTTCCCTCGTCTCCCTTATGGGGCCCCTTTACTGTTAGGCCCCTATACCATCTTGAGGGGGGCCCCTACCTTGCGGGGGGCCCTTCCCTTGCGGGGGGGTCCCTACCTTATGGGGCGCCCTTATCTTGGGGGGCCCAGGGCCCCCTCCCTTGCTGGGGGCCCTTCCCTACCACACTAGGACCCCCGCCTGCCTCCCCTCTTCTTCCCCCCACCCTTCCGTAGGGTTTAGGGTTTAGGGTTTACTGTAGTCCAAACCCTTCCGATGCCTCAATTGCCGTAGTAAGAAGTCCTTTTAAATTATCTGCCCCAAACCCTTTCCTAGGGTTTAGGGTTTAGGGTTTATTGTAATCCAAACCCTTCTCATGCCTCAATAGCAGTAGTAAGAAGTCTCCTTCCCACCCTTTCCTAGGGTTTAGGGTTTAGGGTTTAGGGTTTGTTGTAGTCCAAACCCTTCTGATGCCTCAATAGCAGTAGTAAGTAATCTCTTAGTATATCTCCCCTCCACCCTTTCCTAGGGTTTAGGGTTTAGGGTTTATTGTAGTCCAAACCCTTCTGATGCCTCAATAGCAGTAGTAAGTAATCTCTTAATCTATCTTCCCCCCACCCTTTCCTAGGGTTTAGGGTTTAGGGTTTAGGGTTTATTGTAGTCCAAACCCTTCTGATGCCTCAATAGCAGTAGTAAGTAATCTCTTAATCTATCTCCCCCCCACCCTTTCCTAGGGTTTAGGGTTTAGGGTTTAGGGTTTAGGGTTTAGGGTTTAGGGTTTATTGTAGTCCAAACCCTTCTGATGCCTCAATAGCAGTAGTAAGTAATCTCTTAATCTATCTTCCCCCCACCCTTTCCTAGGGTTTAGGGTTTAGGGTTTAGGGTTTATTGTAGTCCAAACCCTTCTGATGCCTCAATAGCAGTAGTAAGTAATCTTTTTAGTTTATCTTTTGTTGCATAATGAGGTAATAAAAGGGTACAAAAACAAGTAAAAGAAGTTGGTAATCTTTCTGTTGGTTCCCCACCATTCTTATGTACAGACATACGTAATTCTTTTAACCCCATGGCTGGAGAACGCTCACTACCTATAACACAAAACCCTAAACCCTAAACCCTAAACCCTAAACCCTAGAAAATACCAAAATACCCTTAAAAACCCTATAAAATATGAATTATATGCAGGGGATAGGGAAGGGGAGAAGGGAAATATTAAGAAAAAAGAAATATTCACAGGAAATGACTTATATATAATATATAATATACCAGACAAAAAAATTAGGGTTTAGGGTTTAGGGTTTAGGGTTTAGGGTTTACCGGATACAAATTTAAGAAAGTTTTGCTTCTGGAAGATATCAAAGGAAAGTAAAATTTCCCACAAAGATTCAATGTAGGGACAATCAGCAGAATAACCTTCATACCTATAATAAATATATATAATATATAAACCCTAAACCCTAAACCCTAAACCCTAAACCCTAAACCCTACGTTAAATTCTGCCTCGTCTTCGATCTCCAACAATTTCTCAAAGCTGTTCAACTCATCAGGGAATACATCGCTGCACAATCAGACCAGCAAACCCTAAACCCTAAACCCTAAACCCTAAACCCTAAATACCCAAATATATGTGTAGAAGAACAATGGACACCCTCCCTATCACTAAACCCTAAACCCTAAACCCTAAACCCTTTCTTACCTCAAGTCTTCTAGCCCTACTTCAGCTCCTTGTAGTTGTTTATACACCTGAGCATATAAAGCAGCAGTAGCAGCAGCAGCAGCAGCAGCAAAGATACCATCAATAACAGCAGCACCAAAAGCATCACAAACAGCAGCAACACCAGCACTAGCAACAGCAGCAGCAACAGCAGCAGCAGCAGCAGCAGCAGCAGCAGGAAGCTGACAACTAATGGTAGATTAAGAGGCATTAAGATATCATTATAAACAGCAATAGATGCAAGAAGACCCGTCAGCCAATACTCCTTAGCCTTCCCTTCAGGTATATACTCCTTGCTGCTGCTGCTGCTGCTGCTGCTGCTGCTGTTGCTGCTGCTGCTGTTGCTGTTGCTGTTGCTGCTGCTGCTGTTGCTGCTGCTGCTGCTGTTGCTGCTGCTGTTGCTGTTGTCGTTGCTGGTCTCTCGGACGGGACTTGTTGTTCCTCCTGCAGCAGAAGCCTGCTGCTGCTGCTGCTGCTGTTGCTGCTGCTGCTGTTCTTGTTCTGCTGCAGCAGACCCTTGTTCTTTCCCTTCTGTTGCTGTTGCTGCTGCTGCTGTATCTGTTGCTTCTGCTGCAGCAGGAAGAGGTAGTATTCCTCCTGCTGCTGCATCTGCCTCTGGTTGCTGCTTAAACCAGAGTGTACGTACACCCGAATTATAAACAAATAAACCACGAGAAGAAGAAAATAATTCACGAGCTAATAACTAAAAAAAAAAAAAAAAAAAAAAAAAAAAAAAA